AGTACCCATACGACTGTCAGCTGATTTCTCAACAGAAACTTTACAGGCCAGAAGGGAGTGGCAAGAAATATTCAAAGTGATGAATAGCAAGAACCTACAAGCAAGATTACTTTATCCAGCAAAGCTATCATTCAGAATTGAAGGTCAGATAAAGAGCTTCACAGATAAGAAAAAGCTAAAGGAGTTCATCATCACCAAACCAGTATTATATGAAATGCTGAAAGGTATCCTTTAAGAAGAGGAAGAAGAAGAAAAAGGTAACAATAGAAATTATGAACAACAAACACATATCTATCAACAAGTGAATCTAAAAATCAAGTGAATAAATAATCTGATGAACAGAATAAACTGGTGAATATAATAGAATCAGGGGCATAGAAAGGGAGTGGTCTCACTATTTTCGGGGGGGGGAAGAGGTGTGGGGGGTGCAGGAAGAGACTGGACAAAAATCGTACACCTATGGATGAGGACGGGGGGGGGGGGCGGCGTTAAGGGCAGGGGTGGGAACTGGGTGGAGGGGAGCTATGGGGGGAAAAAAGAGGGACAACTGTAATAATCTGAACAATAAAGATTTAATAATAATAAAAAAAAACACATACATGCAATAGAATGGAGATCACCTGCACAAAGCTATAAACTACTTCTTGGTCCCTTCTAACCCTTCTCTAGAAGCAGAACCCTACATCCTCCACTAGCACTATCTGTTTTACTGCCCCCTACCTCCACCCATGATTGCCTACAGTAGCCTAATTTCTCCTCCCCACCTCATGCCATCTTCCCCAGTCTCCCATCTGACTACAGAAGAGTATTACCCATTGTGGCTCTCCTCAGCATACCTAAAATTTAAAATATCTGTTCTATGTTATATTCTCTCAGAACCATGTAGAACTAATCAACTAGCTCTAGCAGAAGTTACCCCTCCCAGGTATGCCTGCATATTAATTAATAGTGAGCATCAGCCAGAGAGCAACTGATTTTAGGGAAAGTGAGGCAGAATCATGGTGCAGTGAAAGCAACACTAGGCTTGAGGGTCATGTGTCCTTGATCTTATTCAGCCTATGTGACTTGGGGCAAATCAATTCACCTCTCTGAGTCTCAACTTCCTTAATTTATTTTTTTTAAAGTGCTATAACAGTTGATCTTTCCAGATCTAACATCCTGCAGTATTCCACCATACAATGCTGCTTTTCTGATTTCCATTCCCTCAGAACTTGGTGTACTGAGTGTGTTGAACTGTAATGTCTGAGAAAAATAGAATGTAAGCCACATGTAATTTTAAACATTCTAGTAGCCCCACAAAAAAGTAAAAAGAAACAAGTGAAATTAATAATAGATTTTATTTAACCCAATATTTCCAAAACATTATCATTTCAACATGCAATCAATATAAAAATTGAGTTTCCATCCTTTTTTTAGTACTAAGTCTACAAAACTTAGTGTGTATTGTACATTTAAAGAACATCTTGATTTGGACCAGCCACATTTCAAATGCTCAAGAGCCACACATGGCTAATGGCTACCGTTTTGGCAGCACAGGTATAAGTCTAAGAGGAAGTCCTCCTTTCACTCCTGACCTTTTTAAGCCCAGAGTTGAAGACTGACATGAGTGCTAGCCTGCATCCTGAGAAAAGTCAAAGTCATCAGAGAAGTTCCGGTCTGAGTTTCTTCTCTGACTAGGAAGGTAGGAGGGCAAAGTTCAGGACAAACACAAAATAGAAAACCTAGGAGGCTGCAAGAACAACAATAATGGGGAACTTCAAGGAGGGACAGAAGATGAGTTGGGCATGGTCAGGTTTTCTTTATACTCAAGGTTTTCCCAATACAAACCCCAAAGGCACACAGAGCTCCTATCATATCAGTTATATCAATTCATTCCTTTAAACATCTCTGAACACCTAACTCCTAGGCACTTGGCTGGGCAATGGAGATGCAGTTACCCTTCAGGAGAGCTCTCGATTGGGTCAGGATGACATGTTAAACACCTCAATTATTCATTCAAAGTGAGATAAGAACTCACTTATAGATGAGAACACTGAGGCTGAGAGAGGTTCGATCACTTTTCTACAGTCACACAACCAGAGTGGTGGAATGAGGATCCAAACCTGACTCTTAAACATGGCATTGAACCATACTTCCCAGTTTTAAAGAGCTCATGGTCCTGGAGGCAACAAAAAATGTCACAACTATGAGACCATGGAGTCACTACCACAAAAGGACATGAAGTAGGGGCTGGAAGCAGGGGGCATTAAGATTCCCAGGGGTAACCTTGTGTGAGTCTGGAAGGTTGAGGAGCTCACCAGGTGAAAAGGGGGAAGGAAATGGACCTTCCACAGGGAACAGCAGAAGTGTGAAGGAGCATTCAGTGTTCAGAAAACTGGTTGGTGGGGCAGCTAGAGGGCAGTGTGCATAAGAAATAGAGGCCCCACATGAAAGTGGAGGTATGAGCCAAAACCAGTGCATAAGGGGCCTGAAATTCCATGAGGAACAATGTAGGTTTTATACTATGGGTCATGGGAAGCCTTAAAAATTTTGTCTAGGGTAGTAAACAGGACCAGATTTTCATTTGAAGAAATCATTCTAAAGGAGAGATCTCAAAGCTTATGTGTCACCCTTCCTCTCCTAGGGTTGTTAACTCTATTAAAAGTCCATGTGTAAAGGCTAAGATTTGTTTCCTAGAGTTGGATCACATCTAGGGACTTAATCTCCCAATGGCCTGTGAAGTTTACTTCTCTACCCATGTTACTAAACAGAAGTTGTTGACTTGCAATTCTTGAAAATCAACCCACAAAAAGCTAAAAGCACCTCCTTTATTCCTGGCATCAGCACTGACAGAGTTCCTGGCAGAGGATGGTTTGCTTGGCCAGCTCCTGCTGGAAACCTTGCATAATCTTGATGGCACAGTAGTATTTTACATTTACTTGCACAGAAACACGTAAGATTCTTGTGGCCAGTGACAGAAAACGCTGAAATATTTCAGGTGCTCAAATTCTGAGGCCCCATGTCTCCTCCCCGTAACAAGGAATAAAATTATTCACTGCCTTCAAAACCCATGTCTCCCCTCTCCCCAGCCCCCTCTGCACATCCCTTCCAGGTCTCCTGATTACCCAGTTCCATTTTCAGCTCATCAACCTCTAAGGCTGGCCTACTTTTCAAGGCCACACAAGCATATTACATTGTACAATTAGGTAAGAAAAACATCTGCATTATACAAATAATAGATTATAATTAGAACAGGATATTGAAAGGGGGAAACCAGCAAGTGTCCACCAGAAAGCAAGGATACAGGCAGAACTGGTAAAAAAAAAAAGCCATTAGACAAAGTACAAAAATACTACTGCATCGCAGGGGCAAGGGCTTGACAAGAGGGAAAGAGACAGCAGCAATACTGAGTGTAACAGAACAGGAGCTGGCCACTGACCGCCTGGAAAACCAAGCTGAAGCCCAAGAGCACCAAGCAAGATCACTTTACCCAGTGAGAAGAGCGAAGCAGACTCATTTTGTTTTCGGTAATCACCTGGGTGGTTCTGAAAGTCATGCCCTGGTCTGAATAGAGAGTGGGCCCAGGCAGTTTCGAATCTATTGCAAAACCATGGAAATTGAGTACAGATAAACAACCAGGCCAGATCCATGAAGAGGAGCATAAGAGAGAAAAGAAGAGGCCCTCTCAGGTGGCACTCTGCCTAACTAAAGGCCTGGTCCAAGGGTAAGATGTCCAAGGGGTTTTTCTGAACTTCCAGCTTCATTCACACCCTGACCTAAAAAATCAACCCCTTGCCTTTGTCAAGAAGATGGAATGTTTCATGGACACACTCTCCATTCCCAAACCCCTCCTCAACAAGGCATCTCTGGGTATAAGAGGGGACTGTTCTGGAGGACTTGTGCCCTCCGGCCCCACTGTGTTTCCATATGACCTGACACCAGCCAAAGTGGGAGAGCATTTGGGCAGCAAGACAGTTCATGTGGGGAAAAAAAAAAAGGAGACATATGTAATACTCTTTGTAATATTTTAAGCAATAAAACAAAATTTAAAAAAAAAAGACAGATTGGATTAGCTCTTCCTAGAATTAAGCTGGCCCCACTCCCATAGGGGCCCAGCCAGCAACAGGAAATTGGTGCCGTGGATGAGTTATTCTGCTGTGGGGAGTGGAGAGGCTGAGGTGAGTGGGAAAGACCACTCAGTCACGGATGGAGAGCTAGTAGAGAGAAGAAAACATAGCCTCCCGGATCCAATGGAAGAGCTGAGCCAGCTTGCAGAGGAAGGGCAGGGAAGAAGGAGACGCTGCAGGGAAAAGAAGATTATTGTCAGTGTACCTTCCTTCACTCCCCTCCTCTTCACTTAGTCCCATTTCCCATCCCTCAGGAACTCTACCAACTTGGGAACATAAGGATTCTTTTGGAAGCATATTTTGATGCTTAATGTTATTTCCTCCTGCTTCCCTCCTCAACAATAAAGAATTTCACTTTCTCTAGGACATATTCTCTGAAATATACTTTCTTCACTTGGATTACAATGATCTTAAATTTGCTGAGAAAAAGATTCAAATATATTATGTTTTACCTTTTTGATATACAAAGAACTGCTAATGTGACTGCTTCTGGTGCGTTGAATTTGGGAAGAGACTTTTTACTACATTCATTTCTATAGCTTTTAAATTTGGAGCCATGTGACAGTATTACCTATTTTTATCATGTTAATTATACTGAAATTAAAGCAAAATTCACCTCTTTGGAATTAAAGCTGAGTTGGTTTGTTTTTCATTATTTGAATTCCTGATTTGTTTTTAATTTTTTAAAATTTATTTTAGAGAGAGGAAGGAAGAGAGAGAGAGAGAGAGAGAGAGAAACACTGATGTGAGAGAGAAACATTGATTAGTTGCCTCCCGAGTGTGCCTGGGGATCGAACCCTCAACCTGGGTATGTATCCTGACCGACAATCAAACCTGCCACCTTTCAGTATACGGAACAATGATCCAACCAACTGAGCCACACCAGCCAGGGCTGAATTCCTGATTTTTTAACTGATTTTTTTTTTCTATCTTAAAAAGGAAGATGTTATTTTTTAAGAAAGTTATTGACAGACTAATTTCTGCATATCCTTTCTATGGAGGTCAAATTGAAGCCCATTCATGAGTCCTCCTTTCCCATAACACCACCACTATAATGAGTCAAAACTACCATTGAACGTCAGGACCATCAGCCAGGGCACTTCTGAAGAAGTCTGAGCGCTCTGCGAACAGCAAGCTCAAATGACCTCTTGACATCTGCACTTAGGAGACCAGGGTTTATGAAATGAAAGGGCTTAAAAAACCATAAAAAATTTCTAAATTTTTATCAAGTCTCTGGAACAATGGAGAAAGTCAGAGGATAGTGTCTGCTATGACGAAGTAACTGCTTGAGCTAAAGCCAACCCTTGGACAGATAAGGGTGAAGGCCTGGGGAGCGGGTGGGAGCAGGACACAGTGGGTCAATAAAGTTAAATTTTTAAAAAGTCAGAGGATAGATATGAACGAACACAAACTATCTTAGCTTACCTGAGGCTAACTAGTGATTCTTTCCTAAAGCAAACAGAGCTCTTCAGAGGGAATTCCTGCTCAGTGTTCAGCAAAGGGGTGAAAAAGACAACTTTGAGGTATACAAAGGAATTAATCCTCAGGAAATAACCAAGGTTGTTCCCAAATAGTACTTAGGGAGCTCAAGTCTGCTTTACAGCACTGCAGAAAACAGAATACAAGATAATCAAAATGTTCTGCAATGGGGAGTTGTTAAAATCAATTATGGGACTTTCTGTAAAATGGAATATTATTTAGCCATTTAAGGCCATGTTTCAAAAAATACTTATGATATGCAAAATTTACTTATACCCATATATGTCTATACATAGAAAAAAGGCTGAAAGTATAACCATTATAATAGCAGACTTACAGGTGATTTGTTTTCTTCTTTAAATTTTCCCTATTTTCCACATTTCTAAAATGTATAAGTATTTCATTTACAATTTAATATGTTTTAAATTAACACAGTTTTTTAAACATATGATGAGGAAGATTTTTTTTTTAACTCTGAGGTTCTATTCAGAGTTCAATCCTGCATAAAGTACATGATAAAGTAGATGATAATGACTCAAAGTCAATGTTAAAGAGTCAGCAGGGTAGACTTTTTCCAGACTGCTCTCACAGACCACAGCACTAGTCTCTCCTAGGTGGGCTGGGCCAGCTCTTGCTCAGGTCCAGCAATTCCTCCTTATAGAAGAGATTCAAAGAAATGGCACAGGAGGTACCTCCATCCCCAAGAGGGCTCCCACAGCCCAGCCCTTGTCAACTGCCCCTTCTCCAGGAAGGATAGGAGAGGTAGGCTTCATCACTCACCTGGATCAAACCTCACCACCAAGAGGCAGAGAATCAAGGTGGCCAGGAGGCTCTTTTTGAAGGGCAGGGAAACGAAGTGGCTCACTGCAGAGTCCCAAAGCCGGCGAAGCAACATGAGTAGTGACAGAAACTTGTGGAAGGAGTCTGGTCAGGGAGACAGAGCATAACTGTAAGGTAAGTCACAGGAACCAGCTTCCCTAAATCTGAGCTTTGAGCTTGATTATAAGAGTTGAACAGAAGGTAATTTTATAACTCATGTAATTCATAAAGTGGTTCTAAAGGAGATTCCGAAGCTCCAAAAATGTTTTAAGGACTATATCACCACACTATCATCTCCTTAGGGGAGGACTTTGACAGACCACATCTACTCAGCTAGATAAATCTGGCATATTTGGTGTTTTTCTAAATATCCTCACTATTTTATAACATTATTTATATTTTGGCCTAAGATACATGCATAGAGTTACACAGAACAATACGTCTTGATTATCACAATAATGCAGGAAAATAAAGGGCACTTAGCACACATAGTGAAGAATTCAAAGGTCCTGGATTATGAATATAAACATGAACACTACCAACCCAAGAACAAGTGGTGCCCAGTCCTGATAGGACATCCTGAATTTGCCATCAAACCCCCTTCTGCCTTCTCCTCCCCATGGGTGGAGGGGCAGAGGTCTTGGGTAGCCATAGGTAATCTCTGAAGCCAACATGTCCTGTTTGCAAAAAAGTGATCCTGTCTCAGCAGGTTCATGCTCTTTAGCACACACACACACACACACACACACACACACACAACAACAACAACAACAACAACATTTAGGACAACAGTATTACAGTCTCCTACAGCTGAAGGGCTCTTGTGGGGGTAAAAAAAGGACTCAACCTATTCTATGTATTATGACCAATACATTAGAAACCACCAAGGGGGAGGGGGGGGACTTAAATTCACGATAAAGAACAATTTCCCTACAGAACTGCCCATTGATAAAATGAGCTGCTTTAGAAGATAGTGAATCTCTGCACTTAAACGTATTTATGTACAGTCTAGAAGTCTAGATCACTCAAGGAAAAGGAGATGAAAAGGATTAAAGAACCAGGGGAAGGGTCTGGAGTAGAGGAACCTTTAAGTCCCTTTGTAACAAATCAACACCCACACCCACCCTTTTGCAGGTTCCCCTTGTATAATGCTAGCCAGGTGTGTGGTATTGAGTCCTGAAGTGGTTTCTCTACAGAAGCCAGTTTATAAATCTGCGCTCTAATATGCAGAGGTGGGCTGTCTCTGAAGAGGGTGGACATCAATCACTGGAAAAGACACCCAAGAGGTCTGGTGAGTGAGGCAGATGGGAGACTGAGCAGAGGCACCCAAACTGAAGATAAGTAATTTTTACCTCATAAGTCAAGTTACCAAGTTATCGTGTTAGTTTCTCATTATCTTTTGGCTATCCCCAAGCATACCTCAGCTGTGTCTACATTTGTGCTAGTATTTAAAGGAATAACATCCTACCTAGCCCAGTATAGTACAGGCAAGAGATCTAATGAGAGGACCCCAAGGAAATGGTGACTTTTAGGAGAAAAGAGTCAAGGTCCTGAGACCCAGCAACACATTCCCATATGAAGATTTTCCTTCCACTACCAACTTCAGAGTGTCTGGACTTTCTAAGCAATTCAACCGGTTTCCTATTCTGTGATTTGGGAGTTACTCATAGAAAGAATTGCTCCCAAGCTCCCAGGAATGTCACGATGGACCCCAAGGTCCAGAGGAAAGCCCACAACTACACTTTAAAGAAGCCACAGAGGATAATATCCTACCTTCCTGGTTTAGCTTCTGGTCCTTCTCAGAGTCAGAGTGTTCATGTTTCTGCTGTTGCCTTGCTATGCTGATGACCTGGAGTACATCCAGCCGTTGCTCCTCACTGAAGGCTGCAGAGCCCACCACTAGCTCCTCAGCCTCCGACAAGCAGCCCAGAGGCAGTAGCACCTGCTGCAGGTAAAGTTCTGCCAAGGCTCTGTATTCTGGAAGGCCCTGATTGTCTGGGTCTTGGATCCAGGCACTGGCCGCTTCTAGCATAGCTCCAGGCTCTTGCATTTTGCTGTATAAAAGAACACTGCAGCCCAAAATAATCCAATCCCACCACCCCCCCCAGAAAAAAACAGTCAGTGTTCCACAGTTGGTTCATTTCTCATAACCACTATACTCTCTTATCCAACTCCTCCCCTGTGTCCTCCAGCCCTTCCTTATGGAATGCTGACATTGAAAGAATTAGGAATTCCTAGAAAATAGCAAAAAGTTATCACTCTACTATGACACTCCACTCTGTCATCCCATTTCACATTTCCTATTCCCAGTATCTTCTCTCTTCTTCTTTTCTTTAACCCACTCCTAAATCCCTCCTTCCTCATCCTTTAGTGAAAAAAAATCAGATTTGGAGGAAAATAGAAGGGGATGTGGAAGAGGAAATATTAGGCACTGATTCAGAAGAGAGCAAAAGTCTTCATTTCTGGAATGACCCAATGAGTCAGTAATAAGGACCTACCACAGCTCCAGGACTTTGGGGGGTAGCTTTTCAGGGACCTGGTAATACTGAAGAACCCAGGAAATAACTTCCCGCCACCGATCCATTTCTGCCAGGGCCTGGATCCCCACAACGCACAAGGAGCATTTCACCTCTAAGGAACTGTCAGCAAAAAAAACAATTCAGGTTTAGAAACGGTCCCCCTCCATTTCCATTCATACCTCCACCCTGGGACTGTTCTTCCCCACCTTCCAATTTAGCAGCCATCACTTCCATTCTCCCCATTAGTATTCAAAGTGTCCTCACAATTACAATTGGTCTCATGGGCCCCAACGTAGAGAAAACTGCCCATTCTCCTAGAAATTAAAAGTTCCTATAAACCTCCTAGAGGCAAATCAACTCTTGCCCAACATCTTTGTATGCAGGTGTACTTTCCCCTTTGTATGCCAGAAAAAGAAAAGTACACCTACTACACAGGTGTGTGGGTGGAAAGAGAGCTGGAACTAACAGTTTGTGTGAAGAAATGGGCATGAAGCCTGAGTGTGGGCATAGGGAATCCACTGGCCTTAGTGCCAGCCAGTGAGGTACCTCCAGGCACCAGGAATCATAGCCTTCAGCGTTTACTGCAACAAGCCCCCATACAACCCCTAAAATCACAACCAGGGCTCCTCAGCTTTGACTATTCTACCCACCACCTCCCTAGTGTGATCTAATCCAATTTTACAACCCAAGGTTTTTCTCTAAGTTGATTCTTTAATCCAGTTCTTCAGCAGGACCAGAACCCCATTCCCACTCATCAGCCAAGACCAGAAGTGAACAACTTAGGGATGGGGAGTGTACCTAGGAAAGGACTGAGCCTGCTTAAGAAAATAATTTAACACAATACGCATTCTATCTTCCCATCACGCCATCACATTGGAGCAGGGAGTAAAGAAATGGCTAAGCTCTGTTCAGGGGCTCAGTTTTCTCCTCTGTAGAACGGGCACATCAGCCTGTCAGAGGCTTCCTGTGCACATTCTGGGAATGACCGGTTCCCGAAATGCTGGTCCCTCCCCAGGCAATCCCCGCACGTACGTGCCCACAGGCCAGTCAGCCTGGGCGTAGTTGCTCAGGCTCCGGCCGGCTCGCTCGCAGGTGTGCAGCGCCTCCCGGAAGTCCAGGTGCACCACTAAGTGATCGGCCGCCTCCTCCAGTAGAGCCGCGGCTGCCGCCGGCGACAGGACGACGCGCCCCGTTTCGCTGCTGCTTAGGGCACCCCCGGCCCCCCTAAGGGGAGCTGCAGCTGTCGACGGGTCACTCTTCATAGCAGCCCGGTTCGAGGCCTGTCTCTACAGACGTCCACGTGGCCCCTCTCCCGGGCTCCAGGAGCCCTATTCGGCCTGGGAGAAGTGGGCAGTCCTCACAGCCTTATCCACACCCTTCACGAGGCCGCGACCTGGACAAGGAAGAGAAAGGGGCTATATTCTAAGGCTAAAGCTAGGCTCGCCAGGCACCTGGGGAACCAGTTTACACCTCGGATGTGCAGAACGGCTGCGTGCCTCAAGTACCTGGCCCAGCTTCTCTGCCCCCACAGCGTGTGCGGATGCACCTAAGCCCTGGGAGAATGCGAGTGTCCGCTACTTCCGAAGAACAGAGCACTCACCCAAGGTATAAACGGTATCTTTCCTGTTCTCGCGGCTCTGCAGCATGGTTTTGGCGGCGCGCGGGACTCTGGGAGTTGTAGTTTTCCGACCCTAGGCTCAGTAGCTCTAGTGTTGCAGATGGGCAGATTCGGACTACAACCACCAGCATGCCGCGCTCCCCAAAACTGGCACTGTCTCCGGAGAAAACAAACTGACAGCAATGCTTTGAGGCCAGGAATATCAAAGGTGAGGTTATGTTCAGAGAGGAGTTGGTGCCCTTAATAACCAGACCTGGAAGAGGCCAGACAGAAGAAATTCCAGTAAGGAAATGGAGCTAATGCACTCTTCTGAGCATCTGTAGGGATAGCAATTAAGGCAGACCAGGAAAGGCACTGAAAGGAAACAACAGTTTGTACCGCCTTCCCAGACCCAACTCACATTTATCCAGTACTTGAGTGCCTGGCACTATGCTAAGCGCTTTGCGTGCAATCTTATTTAGTTCTTCCCTCAGAACAATGGTTATCTCTACTTTACAGTGTTTCAGAAGACCAAAGAAATACCGAGCACGCTTCCTAGAGAAAGGGAGGGACCCCGCTTATTAACACTAGTGGACTCCGGGAATAATTTCCAAATCAGAGTGAAGAAACACGCTTTTTATAGCCTTCTGGGGTCTTTGTCTTGCAGATATGGTTCCGCCCCCTTTCGTGGGCTTACAGGAAGGCCCCTGGTGTTGGGGGTCCCCAGGTCATATCCGATGATCTGTCCTGGGGCCAGCGATAACGACCTTCCCCCCATCCGCCCCAGGACAGTGCATTGTTCACAGTTTTTATGGTCTGACAAGCCTTGCAAGACCAGTTTCCTCCTCAACAGGAGATGAAATTGAATCTTATTTAAATAATTTGCTCAAATCACACAAGTAGTGACAAAAAATGGCATCAATCCATGGCTCGTTTGGCTCAAAGGCACATATTTAAGCACTAGTCTGTTCTGCCGGATGAATAAATCTGTGCTTTCTAATTAGGGAATTCATGATCATCACACAAGCAAGTTATACAAGTTGAGCCTTCATTGTGTCACATAAAATAAGAGATACTGTGTGCAATGCAATTTATAATAAAGTTCCAGAGCAGAGCAAATATTCAATAAATTATAGCTATAATAATTATTATTAAACAGTTTTACACAGATATGTAAAATCACATTTATTTATATTCTTTACTTCACTCAAACTTTGCCCTGCCTCCAAACTTCATAATAAGCCCCCTCAGCTTTAATTTCTCCCCAGTTTCTTACCTTTTGAACTCTCTCCAAACTTCTCTGGAATTCTTTTGAAACAGGAATTTTAGGGTAATATAGGCAGGCTTAGGGAATTTTTAGAATTGGGGTCTGTGGAAAAATAATAGGGTTACAGATTGGGAGAAGGTACATCTCCATAACACAAGGAAGCCAGGTGCAGCTACATTTCCATAAGACAGGGAAGCCAGGTGCAGTTACATTTCCATAAGACAAGGAAGCAGCAACAGGGACATCTCCATAACACAAGAAAGCCAGGTACAGGGAGCAGCAACAGTTGCATTTACATAAGACAAGGGAGCTGGAAGTAGCCAAAAGGGTCTATATCCTATATAATAAAACCATAATATGCAAATTGACTGGTGGAAGGACTGGTCGCTATGACACACACTGACCACCAGGGGGCAGACCCTCAACGCAGGAGCTGCCCCCTGTTGGTCAGTGTGCACCCACAGGGGGAGTGCTGCTTAGCCAGAAGCCGGGCTCACAGCTGGTGAGCACAGCGGAGATGGCAGGAGCCTTTCCTGCCTCCGAAGCAGTGCTAAGGACCCCTTGGGGGGTCCCAGACTGTGAGAGGGCATAGGCCGGGCTGAGGGATCCCCCCTCCCCAGTGCATGAATGTCATGCACCAGGCCTCTAGTTTACAAAATAAAGAAGAAGGAAGAAAGCCCAGAAAGAAAAGAACAATGAGGGAGGAGGGCATCACATGTCCCATGTGGTTGACCTTTGAGTTCATGAGTTGCTATAGTGACCAAATCAAAAAGGGGGATAGTGGCCAATCAGAGGGGATATCAGGACATAGGAACTACAGCCTTTATAAACTGTGGAAGAAGGGACGGGGTGGGACTCTTTCCCCCTCCCCACGTGGGAGTCCATTCTGTGGGACTCTTTCCCTCTCCCCATGTGGGAGTCTGTACTTGTTCTTCAATAAATCTCCACCTTTGCTATACTACCCTCTGTCCATGGATTCATTCTTTGACTCCAGTGGACAAAGAATCCGGGTTCCAATCCAAAAATTCCCTATCACTTTCCTCCCCTAGTGATTAGACAGGCCAGGCACAGGGTGTCTGCTTACATCATACATCTCCTTCCCTTGTCACCAGATTTAGACAGGCCCACCTGCTGGGTTTTCAGTTCTCTGTAGAAAGTTCTCATGAAAAACAGAGGCAGAAACATAAAATCCATCAGATTCTAAGGAAAGAGAAGTAAGCACCCTATAACCATGTAAGATGATGAAGTTAGGACTGAATTTATTCCATCTACTGGGTGCCAGGCTCTATTCTAAGAACTGAGGATCCTCCAGTGAACAAATGAGACAAAAATGTCTGACTTTGTGGAGCTTAAATCATAGTGAAAGGAAACAAAAAACAAGCAAGTAAAAATATACAGTATTATTCAGATGATAATAAATGCTAAGGATAAATAAGTAAAGTAGAGAAGAGAGACTGGGAGTGATAACAGTGGTGGGGTGGAGTTGGTATCTACATTTAGCTTTGTTTTCTAACAGTAAATCCAGGGTTGGGAGCAGAGCAGAGAGAAAACGTGGTCATCATGCTCAGGACTAGACCTTGCCTGGGGCATCAGTATTGATTTTGGAATGCCACCCTTGGGAACAACATATTTTCAGGGTCATTTGGGAGAAGCTTCACTCTAAGTCCCTATTCCTCACCAGGCAATATGCATTCCCACACAGCAAACTCCAGAGGTAAGCAAAGAGCCCTGAAAAGTGGATCAGTCTAAGACTGAACTTACCAAAGTGTTTTATCAGCTTTACCTCAGATTTGACATCATACTTATTGGACTAAAGAAAAAAATCTGTTTTTCAGAACTGGGTTTAGAAGTCTTCCTTGAAACATCAGGAAAGCAGTAGGAGCACCAGAAAACAGACCTAAGCTGGCTTGGGTGGGTGGAGACTGGTACAGCCACATCACTTCACTTCCAGTAGCACCACCTCTAAATTGTTGTTGCCTTGAAAAGACCCCTTCCTTAATCCCAAACCAGAAATTTCTTGCTATTCCAAAATTTTCCAGGAGATGGCACTACATCCCTTAAAAGCAGCAGACCTACCAGAAACAAATTTGCCTACTTTGTGGGCGCCCACAGAAGCCAAAATTAGGTCAAGATATTTGACCGGTGGGTGGGGTGCTAAAAATTATATTAAAATCTGATTCTGTTCTAGTTCCGTGTTTCACCCAATTTTTTACTAAACAGGGCTTCATAGTGGTCTGTATGTCACCACTTAACCTTTAGCACTGTTATGCCCACAAATTGATTCTTCAACACACAGCTACTATGACTCTCCACCATCTCACCTGTGTCTGAATGTACCCAGAATTTCTCAAGCTAAGACATAGCATTCCTAAACATAAGTAAATTCATTCCACCTGACAGAGAGTGAACAGGTATTATAAAAACCTAACCCAGGGTTCATGATGCAAGCTTTGAAACCACCTTTCCTCTCCTTGGGTAAAACAAGAAGTAGAAATAAGGCCTGATCTGTAAAGCCAGATCTATAAGGCACGGCCCAGGTTAATATTTGTATTGTTGGAATCATTATATTTTGAGAAAACTAGTAGAATAAGTGAAACACAAAATCCACATTCTAAGTCATCCCCTGACCTCTACCCAAGCTCTGGTACTTGGTGTTCTTCCTTCCATTCAGTTAGAGGAAAAGAAGAGATAATCCGATAACACATTGAACTCTTTAAATCACTGGAATATTTCAGGCTAATATAAGGTGAGATGGTATAATATATTGGGAAATTAGTAAGGAAAAGAAAGAATCTGACTCCACCTAAAAGTTCTGTAATTTTACTTTCTAACCTGGAATCCAACTCTTGACTCTTCTTTACAAAGGTCAGAAGAGCCCATCTGTGGTCAGCCCAGCCTGTCCTGATCTCCCCCCAAGCTGGTTCTACATTTTCTGACAATAGATAGGATCCATAGCTGCCCCTTTGAACAAATCTCATCCAGTCAGAGCCTCTCAGTACAGGGACGTTGGTGGCAAAGGTCTGGATGCAGTAGGATCATATCCAGAGTAGACCTTTGGCCAGAAGCAAGCCAAAGAGATAAATATGGTAGGGTGGAGATGATATTTTTTCCAGGATGGTCAAGGGTTGTGCCTCCCTCACTCAGACCTTTGTCAGTTAGATGGCATTTTTATGGCTCTTTTTAAAAGTCTGAACTTGTAGTTCAGAGCAGAATTGAAGGCTTCCTGTTTACTCCATATTGACACAGAAGAATTCTTACTTGTTTCTGTATCTAAGAAATAATCATCATAATCATACTTCTGTATAGAACTTCATAATAATAATAATAATGGCTTTATCTATATGGTACTGTATTAACTATGTGCTAGGCACTGTTCAAATACTTTACATTTAACTCATTTTAATCATCAACAACCCTGTGACAAAAGTTCGAGTGTCATTTCTATTTTGTAAATGAAGAAACCAAGGCACAAAGAGGCTAAGTGGCTTTCCCAAGGTCACACAATAAGTGCATAGTTAGGACTTCAAACTAGGCAATTTGGCCCCAGAGTCTTTCTCCTTAACTAATACATAATACTGGCTCTACAAGGTGCTTTCACTTAGCATATTTGAGCTTGACAGCAAAACTGTGAGCAAGGTGACATAGGTATATTATTATTTCTACTTATAGATGGGAAACGAAAGCTCAAAACACGTTTCAGTGGCAAAATTGGAGCAATTACTGGATATTTTTCCTTTTTTTAAAATAGAACTT